CGCGCACACGGCACAAAAAAAAAATGGGCAAATGCACATGCACATGCACATCCAAATGTCCATTTTGTGTTTTGAAAAGTAAAACCACAAGTTTCGCCAAATGGGGTTTTTTTGGTGGAAAAGGGGGATTAAGGTCCCTGGAGGGGTCGGCCGCCCCACAGATGGGTGTAGGACCTTATGATGTGTGTCCCCCGCAAAAGCTGGGGTTGGAGTCAAAAGAGTTCAAAACAAAAGGCGCCCCCTTTTAACATTAAACCCACCCTAAACCCCCGGGGGGGGGGGGGGGGGGGGGGCGCCTGCCCCTGCGCCGGCGCGAGAGCTCTGGCGCGGGGCCTTGTGACGCCTGAGACTGGAGAATGTGCATGAGATGTCCCAAAGCCCGTCTAGATGCTTAGCGAGCTCTCAGGAGATCCCCACGGTAACTCTCTTCACAGATCACGCAATGGGACGGCATACACGTACAGATGTGCTCCTAGCTCAGTTCTTTTGACTTCTTCCTTGCCACCACCCGCGGGTCCTCGCTATCGTGGATCCGGATGCCGACGATTGAGGCTCGCCGGCTGAGATTGCGCCGCAGCTTGGCCTTCTCCTCTGCCTGCTGTGGCGTTTCGGCCGGCTCGTCGATCTGCCCGCGGGTGCAGGAGAGGACACACACGTATCCAAATGAGAGCATCGACATCCAAGGGATCCTATAGCGGCGGCAAGGCCGACTGAAATCGTTGCCTCATGTGCGTGACGGGTGGCCGACGTAGCAGGAGGTGCACCGCAGTGCTGGCGGCGCGATTCCATACGTCACAACGTGGCCAGGGAACCAAATCATCCACGAGTTCATCCAATCCTCCCAGTAGTTCTCGGAGTAGCCGACCAGGGCGGCGCGGATCACGTCAAATCCCACTCGCTCCTCCACCATTGCTTCCTTCGATTCGGGAGGGAGGATAGGGAGGGGCGGTTGCCAACGCGCGCCCAGAAGGAGTGGGGTGGCGGAGTGCACGCGCGCTGGGAGCCGGCAGCGAGGTGGGGACGAGAGGGTGGATCACCCTAAAGCTGTAAAAGGTGGGCAGGAAGAGGATCGGGTCGACGATCAGATTCATACACAGAATCTTGGTCACGATGTTGCGCAGGCTCTTCCCCGGAAACGTGGGCTCAATTACCCAGTTGATTAGGCCGTACTGGAAGCTACCCTGGAACGAGAAGCCAAAGCAAGCAAAGAGCATCGTGCGGCGCGCGTCCCAGTCGCGCTTCTCAATCACTTTTTGGACAAACATGTCTGCGCAGACGGTCTTGGTGGTGGTCACGCCGACGCCAAACTTGAAAGGGTTGTTGTTTATCCACGCCGTCAGCCAGGAGACCTCCTGGGCCGGCGTGTGAATCCTCCGCACGCTGGCCCTCAGCATTCCGAAAGACCGCGGCGCGCGCGGTCTTGACCTCCGCGCGCTGGCCCTCAACATCCCGCCGGATCCCGAACCGCGCCGGATCGGATGCGGCACAGCAGTATTTCTTTCGCGGCAGCTTAGGGGGGGGGGGGGGGAGAGAGTACTTGGAGGGAGGGATGGGGATCGGCTGAGTGACGACGCGTGCCGTGTGCCAGCAGAGTTGGGCGCGCGCGGCGTGACGGCGCCCGCGAGGGAAGGCGCGGATGCAGCGGCCGCCGGCGGTCGTACCGCCTGCCAGACAGCGCAGCAGCGGCCAGCGCAGCGGCCGCCGGCGCAGCAGCCAGAGCAGCCGGTGCGCGCCTTGCGAGGCGAGTACTGCCGCCCGGCAGCCTTGAGGCGGCCGGGCGGCAGTACTCGCTCGAGCTTTGCGAGCCGTGCGCGCGCCGAGGCGCGCACGGCGCGCGCCCGCCCGGCTGCCAGTAGGAGGCGGCGCAATATGGCCTATAGTACAGCCCTTGAGGAGGAGGAAGAGGCTGGCTGGCAGTGCTGTATGCCGCCGAGGGGGCAGTTTTGGGGTGCTGTCCCCATCCCAGGGGGCTGCAGAAGGCGTCCGCAACCGGGACAACCCGCCCCCCCAGCCGAGGCCGGTCGAAGCCCACTTGACCACAGCCATGAGGAGTCCTCTTGGTGCTCCTAGCGGCCGTTCAAAGCACAAAGGTCGGGCGCGCGCCGATGGGGGGGGGGCGGGGGGTCTTGGATCTTGCTTGCTCCACACCGAGCGCCATCGGTCCGGACCGCCGCCTCTCTGCTCGCGCGTCACCTCGAGTCCCTTCCCACTGCTTGATCCAACCCTTGGCCCTCTGATGTCCAGTGCGGCACACACATGTACTCTTGGTGTGTGTGCTGTGGGCCCTCCTTGTCTCTGCAATAGACCGTGTGAGGTGAGGGCCTGAGAGAAAGACTTCCCTGCCATGTCACTGTCGGCTGGTCGTTGGCTGCCGCTTTCCCCTGGGGTTCGGCTCGGGACCAAAACGCCACCCCAAACCTCATCACCCTCACTCCAACGGAGACCGAACCAACGACCGACCCGGCAAGTAAGACACCCCGACCAAAAGCCCTCGCCAAATGTCCAACAAGGCTGCGGAGCTCAAGGCGCTCCGCCGGCAAGACGACACCGAGCGCCGCCGCATCCTCTCTCAGCTCGCCGAGGACAAGGCCGAGCGCGAACAGCGCCGCCAGGCGGCTGTGCAAGATCCGGCTGCGCAAGACCCGGCTGCGCAAGGGCCCACGCCGCCGGGCAAGGGCGCCGCCGGGCCCTCCTCGACAGCAGGTCCGTCCACGACGACGGCGCTCCTCGTGCGCACCGCGGAGGGCGCGCTGCGCGCCTCCTTCTCCGCCGACTCGACCCTCCTCGACGTGCGCGCCTGGGTGGACGAGTCGTGCCGCGTGACGGCCGCGTCGGCGATGTCTCCCCCGCGGCCGGTCGTCGGCGGCGGGCGCGTGCTCGTGAGCACCGAGCAGACCGAGGCGCTCCGCGCCGGCCGCGAGTTCTTCGAGCAGCAGACCGCTCGCATGCGAGAGGAGGCCCGCTCGTCTCGCGCCGCGCTCGACGCCGGCAGCGGCGGCACCGACCGGCGTGGAGGAGGCGGAGGTGGCGGGGGCGGGGCGGCGCCCGCGGCGGCGGCGCCGGCGCGGACCTACTTTGTGGTGGCGGGTGGCCTTCCCGGCGAACCGCGGCGAGAGTACTTGACTGAAGAGGCGACGGCGTCCACATTGCCCTTTGCCCTTGCCCTTGCCCTTGCCCCTTGCCCCTGCCCTGCCCTGCCCTGCCCTGCCCTGCCCTGCCCCTGCACTGCCCCTGCCCTGCACTTGCACTCTCCGCCCCCCCCCCCTCCTCCTAATATTATTTTTCCCTCCCTTTCTCTTTTTTTCCCCCCCTTTTCTTCCCTTTCCCCCCCCCTTCGTTTTCTTTTTTTCCCCTCCTTCCTCTTTTCTTTTTCTTTCTACACTTCTTCTCTCTCTTTTCCTGTCTGTCTCAATTTTCTATTCGCCCTCTTTTCCTTGTTTACCCTCTTTCGTGCTTCGCTTTTTTTTTCCCCCCCTCTTTTTT